CGCAGGGACAAGGCAAGTTCGCGAGGAAAAGTTCCCCTAAAGAAGTGCTTTACGGAGCCCGGGACCGGGCGGCCCATTCAGGAGGGGCCGCCCGCAATCCCCGGAATTCAGAGCCGAGTACCCTCTAGCAGATGGAACGGCGGGGCTTAAAGTCCGTGTCCCTCGTACTCGAGGAAGCTCGTCAAGGCTGGGAAACCAATTAGGCATAATAGCACTTAAGCTCCCGGTTTTCGTCGTAGCTCATCCCGACCCAGGACGCCTACTTTGGATCCGCTCCCTAGCCGGAGCAGGTGCGATCCACGGGCGGGCGGATCTCTCGCAGTCGGCACGTATGGGAACCTGCCGGATGTGGGGGTCAGGCTGCAACGGACACGCCTCCCCTCCCGCCCCTGCTGGATCTGGCGGCCGGGCCGCCGCCGCCGCCTCCTCCAGCCCGGCGCCGCCGCGCCTCCCCTCCTGCCCTTGCCGGATCTGGCGGCCGGCCCGGCGCCACCGCCGCCGCCCCTGCCGGCCCGGCGCCACCACGCCTCCACTGCTGCCCCTGCACAGAGAAAGAGAGGAGAAGTGGAAGAGATAGAGGAGAAGTGGAGAAGTGGGAGCCGGCTGGCCTTATCTCCTCATGTGGGCCCCGCTGGGAGAGTAGATATATATAGTGGCAGAAGTCATCCCAAACGGGCTAGGACTTAAAGCCGTTTGAGGTGAGTAACCTCACCTCTGACGGGCCATCCGGCTGCTGTCACACCCCGAAGTTCTCCCCCCAAGCCTAAAATTTAATTTATAAATGATCCTAAGAAAATGCAGGTGCAAATCAAAAGAAAACCCTAAGAAGGTAATGCAAATAATAATCGGATTTGACATGTGGAATTTTTCTTGAGTTCTACATGTCGAAATTCATTAACAGGATTTTTAGTGGAATTTTCAGAGCTCTAGAAATAATTTTAACCAATTAAAATTGAGCAAGCAATATTGTAATTCCAGGGAAAGTCCTTTTTCCTTTTTCTTTTTCTTTTCCCTCCCTTTTTCCTCCTTTTTTTCGAATGGGCCGCCGGCCCATTCTCCCCTTTCCGTCCCCCTCCCCCTTGCTGGGCCGGCCGCAGGCCGAGGCCCAGCCAGGCCGTCCCGCCGCCCTCCTCTCCGGGGTCGCCGACAGGCGGGGCCCACCTGTCGGGTCCTTCCCCCACCTCCCGCCGCTCTCGCTCGCGCCGCCGCGCTCGCAACCGCCGCCGCGCCCACGTCTCCGCCTCCTTCGGGCCACGTCGACCACGCCCGCGCGTGCGCCGCGTTTCCCGCGCCCACTCCCCTCTCTCTCCCGCTCGCGCCCGCGCCCGAGATGGCCGGGATTCGATTTTCGAATCCCGCCTCTCTCTCCTCCCCCACTCCCCCACGTCGGCCGGCGATTCCCGCCTCTCCCGGCCACGCCCGGTCCTCTCTCTCCCTATTTAAGCTTCCCCGTCGCTCCCTCTCACTTTTTCCCCATTCCGCCGTACTCTCTCGAGCCTCCCATCGCTCCCGCGCCGTGCAACCCCTTGCCGCCGCCTTTTCCGCTACTCCGGCCGCCGCTAGCCGCCGTTAGGGTCGCCGCCAGGCCGCGCCGTCGCCGCCGTCGGGTTCGCGTGGCCGAGATCCACCCCGTCCACCCCTCCTCCGTCGAGGTTCGTCACCGGAGCCCTCGTTCCCTCGCACTCGGGTGAGCACCACCTCTACCGCCGCCTTCGGCCATGGCTTCCGGTCTCCGTGGCTCATCTCCCTCTCTCTAATCCCTCTCTTCTCCTTCCTTAGGGCACCCCGAAGCTCGTCCGCCCGCCGACGTCGTCCTCCCGTGGCTTGCCGTCGCTGTTCGCCATCGTCTTCCTCCGCGCCGGCCACCCTCGGTGAGGCACCCCCTCCCCTCTTTTCCCCTCCCTCTCCCTCCTAGCCGCCGCTTTAGCGCCGCCGCCCATTAGTCGTCGCTTTAGCATCACCGCCCTTCGGCGCCGCCTTTGCGCCGCCGTCTCCGCCGTCGGTTGCCGTCGTCGGCAACGCGCGTGCGCGTGCGCGCGCCGTCGCCGTGACCGGTCGGCCGGCTTTGTGCCGAGCTGAGCCTAGCCTGACCGCCGCCGCACCGTCCGATCGGCCCCGGGCCGATCCGGGCCGTCGATCCCGTGGATCGGCGGTGGATCACTCGCGTGGTCCCGGTCCACGGTAGACCGGCCACCCTTGAGTCGCTGACCAGTGGGGCCCGCATGTCGGCGCCGCACCCCCTCCGTGCTGACGTCAGCCCTGGAATATATTGCGCAATAAATAGTTTAAGGTTTTTCTTGTATAGTAATAAACACAGTGAATCTTCTAAAAATCATAACTAATCCATCCGAGCTCCGTTTAAGCCCAATCAAGTCTCAGTAAATCAAGAAAAATGTGTAGAATCCATTAAAAATGGTTTTGTTCCCTGTTTCAGTAGTCTTATAGCCTGTTTGCAATGTTTGCCTTGTATGTCGCTAGATTCCGGCTCTTCCGACGCTCCGGTGTACTTCGAAATAGTCGCCGAGGTTCCTCCAGCAGCAGAGCAAGGCAAGTCATGCTTGTCACTTGATCATATTGATCCTATATTGCAAATGTCCTAATGTTTTCTTTCAAATACCGCATTTGTTTTGCAATTATACTATGGGATGGTTACCTTTTGTTACAGCCATGCTTTTTGGACACCATGCTCCTTGTTAGCTTGGGTTATAACATGATTAGACTTTGGACTAGGAATTGCTTAGCCATGCTTAGTTCAACTAGCACACTATGGGGAAATCTCATTTAAAACCTAGACTATAGGTTTATATGATAATGTTGGATTAGTACCACCGCTCTGGTGTTGGTTAAATAAAATGAATCACATGGTGGGCTGTGGGTGCATGGTTTTGCTGGTCGCACCCATGGCAGTTAAGGACCGGTTCGCGGGATGCCCTGGAAGAACTTATCGTACTTACCACAAGCCAGCGTGGGCAACGGCTGGGCTTGTAGCGTAGCTTTCCTCTAGCCGACGCATCCAGGCAAGGGTGGGCGTGATGGAGTTTGGATGGGCCCTGCGACGGCCTATGCGGCTTCCGGATTCACCTAGGCACGAGAGGGGACTGCCCGCTGCCTTGCGAGGAGTGGGGGTGAAACCTGAGGTGTGGTGTGCTTGGTTAGAGGGGGTTATGCGAAGGGTCCTGTCACGGCCTCTTTCCGGTATGTCGTGGTGACATGTCGGCGCACGGAAACGTGTCGTGGGGCTGTGTCTTGTGGGTACAGTTGTACACCTCTGATCAGAGTAAAACTATTCGAATAGCCGTGCCCGCGGTTATGGGCGGTCAACCAGATTCACCGTGATTAGTCTCACCTTAGTGTAATCTTTTGAATTTGGATAGTTCAGGTGGACGGTTGGGCCTGTCGCAACATGGGTTAGCGTTGGACAGTGGATAGTTGATGTTAATTAATTATTACAACTGTTTAAATCTTTCAATTTCTGTTTATAAATGCTCGCTTTACGCAAATGAACCACTTCAGCTCTTCTTTGATGATTCCCTGCATCATACCCCTATTCCGGTATGACTTGCTGAGTACAGTGGGTAGTACTCAGTCTTGCTCTACTTTTCCCAACCCCAGAGTTCGAGTTCGGGTCAGATGAAGGTTTCTCCGAGGAGTAGGCTTTGTCCGTGCCGTCGAGGATGCCTGTGGAGTGGTGTTCCCGCTGCCGTTCAAGTCAAGGCTTAGCTCCTGTTGTCTTTCTTTCTTTCCGCTGCATTTATGTAAGACTTTTATGATGTTTCCATCACAGGTAACTAGTCACCTGTGACGGGTTAGGACTTAAACCCGTTTGAGGTGAGGTAACCTCACCTGTGACGGGTTCTATTTTCAACCCGTCATAGGTGACTAGTTACCTGTGACGGGTCGCAGCCGGATGCCTCACCGATGACGGCATCCCGTATGACCCGTCAAAGGTGACGGTCATCAGTGACCATTTCGTTTGCCCGTCACAGGTATCCCGTCAGAGATGTGAGAATCTGGTGTAGTGTTCGGCGCGGCCATGGCGTGCCTCGCGCTGTGGCAGCTGTGGCGCGCCGCGCCGGCCGTGTGCCTCGACGCCGCGATGGCGTACGAGTTCTACAAGCTCAGCGTCATGGCGTCGGATCTCCGGCGACGGGGCTTCTCCCCCGACCTGCTCATCCGGCTTAAGTTCGGTGAGTTCATGATCGCTATTGATTTCGAAGTACTACATGATCCAATGCCTCAATGGACAATGGCGATATTAGATTTTTTTTTACTCGCTCCGCTTCATATTTTATTAATACTATAAATTTAATCAAAGTTTGACAAGTAAAAAAATCAAACTTATAATATGAAACGGGGGAGTAGCTTTGTAATCAAGCCTAGCGGACTACCACATCTCTCTTTCACATTATAAAATGTATGATTTTTTTAATACATTAATAATACATAGATTTATATATGTATTTATATGTATATATGCTTCATGTATGTATGTTTAAATATATATGAATATTAGTGAATCTTAGAAGAGTAAAGAGTACGTTAAAACTATAATGTAGAACGGAGTGAACACATGCATGTCATTTGGTATTTTAACTTTTTTTTTGTTAAGATCTCTGACGGCATGCGCGTGCTCCAATTGCAGTAATCACTATCATTATGCTCATCAAGGACTTCCACAAAAAGATTATTCCCCTTGATTATATCAGGTCAGTACAACTTTATAAGTCAACTCCATTTTTCCGTCAGGAAAAAGAATAACTCATTTTTGTTGGGATTGGGAGAGGGAGTAAGACAATGCATGCATGCATGACACGCAACACTCACACCAATGTAACCACACGTGTGTACGACCCCTACTACATACAGTATATTGCGGTACATAAAAAAAATGTGCACAAATTATATATCCCAAACCAACCAGACAACCATATGATATCTATCTTCGTTATAGTTAAAGTTCGTGATAAAACTCATTTTGTAGTATATTTTCTCGTCAGTTAAACTATAATCCATTTGCCTCATATGCATCCTTATTTTAAGAAAATCAACCTTTCTAACTTTTGGCTAATAATTAAACTATGCATACCACGTCATATTTTAAAGTGTTTTTATGTTACAGTAAATTGCATTGACGATACACGAACTTGTGAGATGAGTGCAATCTAGTGCACGGAATTGTAAAAGTCCGTTTTGGTGCACGAACTCATCTAGTGTGTGTGAACTAGGGCCAAAATAACATTAATCGCTAATCTTATTTAGGTGTTGCTTAGGATACTATATAAATATATAGGTTGCAATTTAGATATATATTTGTTCAATAAAAAGATAGGCATTGTGATTACAGAGGAAGATATGAAAACAGAACTATGATACATGGGATAGAAAAATATGAAATTCAGCATTTCAAATGACGAAGGAAAGTAGAGACCAAGTATAAGTATAGCATGTCTTATGCATACTCACTACTAATCAAGATTAACTTGGTAATATTAACCTTGATAAGCTATGTTTGTCCTAGTTCACACGAATTAGATAGGTTTGTGTCTCAAAATGAGCTTTTTACAAGTTCGTATATTAAATTGCACACATCTAATAAGTTTGTATATCACTAATGCAATTACTTTTTATATTGGTGATATATTATGAAAGAAATCAATAATCAAAATTTTAAGTTAGAGACCACGTAAAAAAAGCTTATGCGCCTTACATTTTTGGAGGGAGGAAGGTTGTGTTCTTATTGACTTATTGTGATGTTGTTGGACATGTCAAGCATGCAGTTGAAGTAATGGCGCGTTCGCGAAATGCAGTTGAAGTTATTTCATGCCTAATTGCTTACGCAGTTCCTGTTAACCATGCGACGCAGGCTGGCAATTTTCTTCATGTATTTATCTTCAGTCTGGTGGGAAATGAAAGGTTTGAAGAAATATGCAAAATATTGTATCCCTCTGATCTTCAAGGGCTTCGACTTTGAGACCTCAGAAGAATATACGGCGTGAGATGGTGAGATGGTGAGATCCTAAAAAAAGTTGGAAGTTTTAAAAAAAAAAGTTAGAAGTTTACGTGTGTAGAAAAGTTTTAGATGTGATGTGATGTGATGGAAAATTAAAAGTTGGGGGTAATTAGAGGTGAACTAAACACGGCCTTCGAAACAACCGAACTGGTCTTTCCCCTCTTATATAAGTTTATGACATTGTAAAGTAGTAGAGAAAAAACAAAGAGACGGAAAGTGCATGACAGTCTCAAGCTTTTTTACTCGTCCTATTATGTCTATCAAGGAATTCTCTATTTTTCAAAATTAGGATGTACAATCAGATGCCCCTGTCTGGATCATATTTTCATTCATATTTAGGGTGTACGTACAATGAGATGTCCCTACGTCAGTGATATACTTAAGCACCAAGTTTCTTCCCAGATATTGGATAATGCACCTGTCTCATGTGCTGACTGCATGCCTGATCATGTCCCACGCAGTTAACCTGATGGCCCATGGGCCGCTTTGGGACTGAGCTGACGGTCTGATGACCCATGGGCCGTTTTGGGACTGAGCTGAAGGCCGTACCCTGTCTGGGAAAATGTTGACACTGATTATCCTGTGCTTATTCTGTACTGCTTTACCATGTTAAGGAACGCAATCATTTTAAAGTTTGTAAAGTACTACAAGTACTGATGAATTTGGAGTCCAAACAAGAGGAGCTACATTGCATCAAGCTTTCACCCTGGTCGGAAGATGAGCCACGTCCTTTTTTTTTCATTTTGGACATGGACAAGCATGTGTATGGTTCCGTCATGTTCATGCTATATGTGCACTATGTACAGATAATTTACAGCGCAAAATTGGCTTGCATATCTACAAGCATCATCTCTGAACTAGGCAAAAGACACAAGCAGCATCCAAAAATGACCTTCTATGTTGTCTAAATGGGTTGTCTTGTTTGGTTTTTCACATCCAGATTGGGCGGTGGTCGGCAGGGAGAAAAGCTCCGAAGAACAATCTATCAATGTCAGAAGAATTCCTGCTCTCTGAAAATCACTTGCTATGTTAGCTTATGAGTCTCAAAATCCAAGTGCCTCCATGGCGTCGGTGGAGAAATCACATTACAGCAACCGCAGAACTCATGAGATGAACTCGTCGGCATGTCAAAAAAGCTACAAGGGTCCATGAGCGGATAAATGATCTGCTGCCACCTGAGTTTGAAGATAAGAGTATTAGCTTCAGATAATTGAATCGATAGCATGTCAAAATATCCAGCACACAGCAATTAAGTGAACCACCAATAGGTGGAACGCAGATGCGTTCCAAAAAAAGTGGAAATTGTATCACAAGCTGAGGTTCCAGGATCACTGATTTACATGTCTAACTGAGCATATAAAGCTTAGTGGATCCAAAGTACAAACGCATATCCAACTGTATGGGGGCTGGTCAAATTAGTAGGAATAGCTGATTAACAGTTATAGGGTAAGTAGAGCCTCCATACGAGTATTTAGAGGGGGATATATGTAGAGGGTACCAACTGAATTGTAATCTTCAAGC